TTCAGGAACTAGTTGATGCTCTGTATGTGATGACTACTTCCATTCTGGAGAAAAAGTCAGAATTTTGAGATTTTTTTAGAAAGAGTCAGAATTTTGAGATTTTTTTGAAAAAGTCATAATTTTTTGATTTTGAGAAAAAGTCAGAATTTTGAGATTTTTAGAAAAAAGTCAGAATTTTGAGAAAAAGTTAGAATTTTGAAATATTTCGAAAAAAATCAAATGAGAGTTTTAGGGAAAAGTCATAATTTTGAGATTTTAGGAAAAAGTCATAATTTTTGAGAAAAAGTCAGAATTTTTTGATTTTGAGAAAAAGTCAGAATTTTGAGGAAAACGTCAGAATAGAGATTGTTCTAACAGAGTAATGATAATGATCTCTGGAAGATCTCAAGAAAATGACAGGAGCTTAAGATCGGGGATGGGACGGTACTCTAAAATAAAACAGAGTACAAATCTATATAAGAGGAACATAAAGACGTTGCATGGTACTAATGGTTTTTAAAGACACCAAAGTGAAGGGGGGAGCTGCAGGAGAGACAGGTGCATTGTGGGTAGGATGAGTGTACCTGGGTGCAGTTTGTCTTTGGTGTACCACAGGGCGATGCCGTCTCCGTGCAGACTCTTCTTCCCCGAGCCGTGGATCTTAAACTGGACGTGCATCTCCCAGTCCTTCAGATGGCACGGCTGCACGGGGGGAGAGAGAGAGAGAGAAAGAGAGAGGGAGAGAAAGAGAGAGAGACAGAGAGACAGTTACTTTATTTTGAATTTTTTGAATCCTCTCCAGAAACAGAGGAAACATCAATATAAGAACATGTGGGGATCTCATCGGATCAGCGCGTTTCCATAGTGATATTCAATTTAATTATTCTGACATGACGAACACTTTGGTCGACATGTAATACACCATTTCCGGGTTCCTTTGACCTTCCAGGACCCGTGTTAACCCTCTGAGGTCGCCACACACGGTGCTGCTTGTTTTTAACATTTTCAGGCGATTTGATATCTATTCTAGAAAAACGATGTTGTCAAGGGATTTCAAGAAGCGTATAAACAAACAATGGAGTGTTTTATGAACATGTATCCATGTTAGAAGTAGAGTTAGATGTTAGGAGTTAGATAAAGATCTAATTAGGCATCCCATGAAGTCGGCTGTTGACGAATCAGAGGCTGTTCCTGGGATTTTCAGACGTTTCCTTCTTGTTTTCTCTTTTGTACATATGGTCTCATAGCTATGTGTGCGTCCAGGGGACATCCCTGCAGCCTACATATGCTGACAGCTTAGCTTGTCATGACAAAAACATGTATATCAATTGATTGTGCAGCACAGGGTTCATGTTAAAAGCATTTCTACCAAAGAAAGAAAACAGTTGAGCCAAACACGTAAAAAAAGGGCGGGCTAAACACTTTTTCAGTGATATTTTCAAGGTATTTCCACTCATTTTCCACCCCTTCTTGTGTTCTGAATGACTGAGTGTGGACGTGTTGTGTATACATGCCAGTATCTTCAGATTGGACGTGTGTGTGCAGCGTGTCCTCACCACAGTGTTCCAGATGGAGCCCTGCTTGCTCTTCTCGTCTGAAGTCAGGCGAACGTACGAGCTCGTCACCAGCGTGCTGCCCCAGAAGTCCCACTGACTGGAGAGGCTGTTTCCCACTCCTGAGCACAACAAGTAAACAACAACAACAACACACTGTTCACTACTTGTTACTGACAACATTCTGTGCAACATGTATATAGTTCACTCCACCTGCACTACTTGCACATGGGTTGGAACATAATCTGCACTATTTGTATTGTTTTTTTGTTTAATGTCTTATATATATATATATATATATAGACCTGTAATAGTTATGTTGTTCTCTCTTTTTAATGATTGTTAATGTCATGTTATTATGTATTTCTGCTGCACTACATCTTAATGCTTTCAATGTATTGTAAAGCACTTTGAAAAGCCTTGTGTTGAAACGTTGCCTTGCCTTACTCCTTACTCTCAATTGTAGGTCTTAGATGTATTACATTTAGGGGGACATTTGAATTATTACAGCAAACACATCGAGGCAAGAAATAGCTTTTAAAAGATATAAAAACACAAATGACAATTGAAAAGAGTAAACATCCAGGTGGATAACAAGACGTAACGTAATTTAGTGTGGCATGTTTAAAGCAGTTTGATCGCGGACAGATAAAGTATTGCTCAGTTATTCACAGAGTATTCGAAGAGTCAGACTAAGAGGACGTTCCTCTGAAGCTCTTTGTGCACTTTGTTAAACTGTTCAACTGCATTTTGTTCTCACGGTAACTTTGAGTGTTTGGTCCAAAGCCTGTGGCTCACAGCAAGAGGTGACTGACGTTAAGTGTCGCTTTATCCTAATGTTTCCTCTAAGAAATGAAGCTGAACAGGTCGAGCAGTGCTGTGAAGAATGAAGGGGCTGGGGTTGTTTCTCACTCCTGCAGCACAACAAGTAAACAACAACACATACCTGCAGTCAACATTCTCTGGAACATTTAGCTTATTGTATTGTTTTCGTACACGAGCCGTGCACATGCTGCGTTCTCTGCGTGGCTGTGTCTTTAGTTGTAAGCCCAGTGGCGATCTGTTCATCCGTCATATGATCAAACAATAAAGCCATCGAAAAGATAGGGTACAGCATTAGAAGTTATTCTGCGTCTTTGTGTGTCATTCAAGCTCGAGCGCATTTTGTGAGAGCGAGCGAGCGCTACCGTACATTAGGAGTTGTTTCTACAACCAGGAGGAGGAGAGCTCTCTCCTGTCAGCTCGAGGGAGGTGAAGGACTCTGAGGGTTTAGATAGTTCACGTTAGTCTAAGTAGAGGGTCTCGAAACGGTTTGCTCATCATTCATGT